AGACAAACCTATTAACCAGTCCAAAACATGCCAACTGAGTTAATCCAGATACTTTGGGAACAAATGAAAGCTATATTATGCTATTATGAACTTACTTGGTTTGTAGCTTATCCAGGGACGATTTCTCTTGGAGTCATCAAAAGGCGCGTGGGAGAAGTAACGCTTGTATTTGAAGCAGTTGAGTGATGGTGTAAATCTGTCAAATGAGCCCTTGCAGCTGAGATAAGAAACAGCTGTCTTGACTTGTGGGAATGGCTGGATTGGGCCAGCGTGTTCCAGGTAGTGTGTAACCTTGCAATTACGTAGTTGTAGACTTGGGGCTTGTTCTAAACCTAACTCAGTAGGTTTTGGTCTTTCAGGCTGCTTTAATGACATTAGGTAATAAAGCTTTGTTTTATGTATACATAAACAGGTTTATTTGAAGTGAAGCCTTTGTTATGTTTCCTACTGTATTAGCTGTTCATGTCTGCTGATTAATGAGGAAGGAGGCAAGACAGAAGTGATTTATATAGCATGCGTGAGGACATCGTTGTCTTGTCCACGAAACTGCATTTTTGATTGGAGTTCACCTGCCTTAATCAAAAGATTGAATTCTCTCTTTATTAGTATCACACTTAGCCACGCTCATAAGCTTTACTCAGGCAACTTTTTTGCCTTTTTTATTTACATTAGATTCCCTGGGCCATGATATTCCCAAAATGCTGCAACTCTTCAGAGAAGGTCTTGAGTACATGGTACAAGACGAGAATATAATCAAGACAAGAATAGCACGAGTAAGTTGTATTTAGAGTTCTTAAGTTTTCTCTACTGAGCAGAACTGAAGTTAGCATTAAAAGAGGGGGAAAAAACATGTTTTCAATCTGCACATTCCCAAGATTTTTAACCATGATCTTAAACTGACCTATGAAGTAAATGGAACTCTTACTCCTTGTTGTGCGACATCTTCAGCTGATGTGAGCCCTGTGTGTTGTTAATGGGTGGTCATAGAAGATGGCTCCGCTAAAACTGAGAGCAAGGCATACCTGATGCTACGAGTGGGATCTGTATTTGCCACTATATCGGCAAGGAATAGTAATAATGAACGAAATAGGATGAAGAAGGTACTATTCCTTGTAATTTCCTTGTGAGTTGACATCTTAACATAGGCTTCCCTTTCCTCCTGCCTTCCCCAGCACTGTTCTGTGAGTAAAATAAAGCATATTTGATTTTTTTTTTAAAGTAAATAAACTATGGGTTGTAAGTCCGTGGTCAATATGCACAGGTGGACCAAAAAGTGTTTGCTTTAACCTAATAATTAAAGACTCATTTAACTTTGGTAACTTGAGTTCTGGACCAGAGCAAAAAGCAAAACCTGTTTGCATTACACCTGAAATAGAAAATTAATTTTTGCTTTGCTGACATTGAAGAAATTGGGTTATATAAGAGTATTTTTTCTCTCTTTTTTTTTTTAGGCCCTTAATACGTTTTCCTTAATGAATTTTTTTAATTTATATTCCCTGCTCCGAACTGTGATTTTAGTTTAGTTCTGTTTTGTCTATTTGTAATCCTGACTGATTTTTAGTTTTCTTTTAACTGATACTAGTCCAGAAAGGAAGCATACAACATACCTAACCCCTGAGGCTTTGTCTGGTGGTGGTAGAGATAGAGCAGCTAGGCAGAATTAATAAACTTGCTTGAGTTGTGCATGTGAATTTCAAGGGCTTGCTTGTCTATACGATACTCAGTACTGAGGTTCTTGGGACTATTCTGCTAAAGTGTGTTACTTACTGCACTTTGATACAGTCAGGAAGTGTCTTTAGCTGTTTGTAAGTTTAATGGACTGTGTGAAACGCCTCGAATCCATAGATCAGTCTTGGTTTCAAGTATTGTGACTGTATTCTTTAATTTTTGCTCTGAACTGCTTAAACCTTCATCACTTTATACTGTAGATCAGCCTCAAAAATACCTGCAAACTAAACTTATTGTTAAGTTTCTTCTTGTATAGTCAAGAAGAAAAAACAAGGTTTTTAATAAAGGTGAATGGAGAATTCTGATGTCTTGACAGTATTCAGTGCAATTGCAGATGGTTCCGCTTAGCGTAGAGTCCTGCAGCTGTGGCTAGAGTTTCTGAAGTTAAAACCACGTCCTGTTACTGATGTAAGGTGTTGGTTTTACAGATGACCTTAGTTCCTGTGTCTAGGCAGCTCAGCCCTGCAGTTTCAGGGCACTTGAGAAGATCCGGTGCAGCCAGAGATGTCGCTCCGTACAAGTAAACAGTAGGTTCTTGTGAATTGGATCAGAAACAGAATGATGAGGGTGTACTTAGAGACAGAGTTCATACATGCGGAGTTCATGTCAGCCATGTGGCAGAGGTGACTCTAACACTGCACACGCAGTGTGACACGCTCTGCTGTGTATTGAGTTGTGTGCAGAGGGATGGCTCGGTGATTATGGCTTGTGCAAGATGTCTCTACCCTCTCCAGCTACTATCCTTTACCTGACCTAGTTTTCCCACTGTTTGCGCAGCGGCGCTGGGAGGAAATCGAGTGCAGGCAAGGCTCTGGGAGGCTGGGAGAGCCTTGAGTAGTTACACATATCTGCTCACCACTGAATCAACAGCTTTTTAAATTTAAATCTTGTCAGTGAGAAAATAATAATTTAGGAATTACAGAGAAGCATGAAGATCTATTGCTGTATTCTAAACAGTAGCATAGATGTTTCTGGGAGTCTGCCAAGCTGGCGTTTCTCTAAGAGATGTTTCCCCTTTAGTGCTCCTGTTCCACGCTGCCTGTTAGTTCAATTACGGCCAGTGGCTTGATGTAACGCTGCACTCCCACGTGAGTCAGCAGCCTCAGTGGTGTTTTCCTAGTAGTAACTGAGGTGTCTTTGAAAAGCCCGGAAGTTGGCAGCAGTTAAGTTTAATTAGTAGACCTGAAGTTGTGAAACTGAGAATGCAAAATGTTCTTTTAAGACATGGAGCTTAAAGCAGGAGGGAGACAAATGAGGACGCTCGGGATATCTCCTTCAGAATCAAGCTATCCACAGAGGGCAGCCTAAAGACTTTTTTCTTTGAGGGTTTTGACTTAAGTTTTGAGTCCATACAGGGTTGCTGTTGGTCATTGCAAAATTTTCTTTTTCCCAAGTTGAGTTGTCTTTAGAAAAATCAGAGTCCAAATGTGACACCAGGAAGGAGTTTCTAGCATATCTTCCTATCGGTGCGAAGAGCTGCTGGTGAAACGGTTCTTTTGTGGAAAAGAGTAAGATGGATTCAGGAGGTGAGACTTTAAGGTTTGTTCGGAAGGATGTATTTTCTGGGAAGGGACATGTTTACAGGAGCACTGTTTTGTTTACAGGAGCACTGCTTTTTTCACAGTGTTAGAAGTATGGAGAGCTGTGTACTGAACCAGAGTTCTCTCAAGCTTGTTACACAGACGGGCGGGTGCATGGAAGTGAGAGTTAAGGCAGGAGACAGAAATGCCAGTTTGCGCTAGAAGTAGCATCTACCTCCCTTGGCTGTTAATGGGATTGAATGCCCGAAGTGTCAGTGTTGCTTGAAAAAGGAAAAAAAAAAAGGCAAGACTAAGGGATCCTTAGCTTTGAACTCCTTAAAGGGAGGGGGGAATCCCACGGTTGAGGAACAGCTGTTAACTCTGGCCATTTCGAGTCCTTGAGAGTTGAAGTATGTTTACTGGGGGATGAAGGGAATAATGCAAAAAGCATAGGTTGTAACAGTTGTCTTTTGTTACCTGTTTGAGCTGTTCTCTATTTTAGATCCCACATGGCAAGGCTTGCCTGTCTGCGATGCTATTTCTAAATGATTCCAACTATTGACAAGTCCACCATGAGAGAGATATTCAGCCTTCAATGATGCACCTCGGAGTTGAAGGTGTTGCGTAGGTCCTGATGGTACATGCTGGACTGTACCTGAATAATGTCTTCCTAGTAGTCTTGTACTGGCAAAAAGCTTGAGTTTAGAACAAAACGGGACCGAGGATGTGGAAAAAGTTGTAGCAAGTTAAACTAGGAATAGGAAATAACCCTTTACAACAGCCTCAGTAAGGGTATTTCTATGCCTACGTTCTTTTCTTTCCTGCAGACTGCATGGGGCTACTACCTCAGCAATGCATCTACCTTGAGTGCCAGGATGAGAAAATGCTGTCTGCGCGGTCCACGTTGTTATAGTCTCCTACGCTGAACTTTTTTCCCTTATTCTGACCATCTCAGGAAGGTTCATAACTGAGCAGAAGCCTATGGAAGTAAGGCAACACAAAATACCTCAGTGCTTTTCTCTTACTGATACTGTCAGTCCTCCAGATGCCTTTGCAAATGGTGCAGAAACGTTGTTCTGCCATGTTTGTCAACGCTTACCTGTTGGTGCGGAGGCTTTCTCTTTGCTCCTGAAAGCAGAGATGCGAGTTTCTGCCCTCGCTGTGTAATGAAAGATGCTTGATGTCCCAGAATAATGGCCGAGCAGAGTTGTTGCATTGTGTTGCTGCAAAGCAACATAAAGCTTGTTAGGAGTAGCTCTAAACGTGATTTTTAAAATAGGTGTAGTTAACGTTTTGTGTAGAGGCATTTGAACACAAGTACTTGGAGTTCAGCAAAGTGTTTTGTGTTGAAGTTAAGGGGAAATCTGGTTATATTATAATGATGCACAGGTGGCATATTTTTGTGGGATGCTGGTCAAATTACCATTGGTAATTGCTTGGCAGTTTATTGTGCTCCAGAAATGTCTTGCCATGGCGAAAAGGTAGAATAGGTGCAAAAGGTTAACCTCCTTAACAGACAGCATGAGGAGACAAAAGGTGCCTGCTTGGAAAACAGCGCTATGAACTCATGTCTGTTTTCGTGAACTCATTTCTTGTTTTGCATTTGACTGAAATATAAATTATTTTTTTTTTGTGGATAGTTGGAATTCTAGATCTTGCTGTTGAGGGAGCCAAACCTGAAATTCTGGGCCTCTGTGGGTTTTCTATTCTTAGTTTGTCTCTCAACAGCTGTAGTAGGGGACTTGGAGTAGATTTCTGCCTCTCCCCCCCCACCCCGATACCACAACTGTAAGACCAGTTAAGGTGCTCTGAGAACTGTTTTAGCTTTCAGGTTGAATGGTCACCAGGCAGCCCAGGTCTGTTAAATGCCATGAGATAAAGCCATAAAAATTCCAGTTCCGTTTTGGGATGGATAGTTTTTAATGATTGCCTTGTCCTACAGCTCTTCAGAAAAGCTGGTTCCTGAGTTCTGAGTGAAGATGCTAAAACTCTTAATCTCCTGATTATTACAGCCTTTACTATAGGAGTTTCAAGTCCTCGTGACTTGATGTGGGAAGCCCGCAGTTGCAGAAAAGGCCGGAAGAAACACGGGTGGATCAGTGCTAACATGTATTTCTTCTGGCAACTTCAAAAAGGGGCAGGAGGGAAGAGTAGAAAATGGGTTTAGGGACTAGAGCGTGGGCTGATCTGCCTTGCTGTACTAGGCATTATCTTAGGAGTACACGTTATAGCATATATTCTTAATACCGCTTGCTGGAAGAACAGATCATGTGAGTGAGAGAGAGGCTCAAGCTTTACACCTCTTCTCAATTTCTCAAATGTGGTGCAAAATGACCGTTGCCTGAATTAAAAGTGCCTATTTCATTAGATGGGCATGCAAAAAACGAACGAAGGCTGTCTTTGCCCTCCTCCAGGCAGAAGTGGGTAGATTAAAACAACATGGTCGTGCAGGTGAGTATTACAGGACTCTCACTGGACACAGGAATAAGGGAAGTTGGATTCACTTATTTGGAATTGAATCGGTATTTCATATTTCTTCTACACAAGCCATGTTTCTGAGAAGTGCAGTTGGAGTTACGTACTCTTGTCTGCTGCGGAGTTTTCCTGTTGACTTGGGGGTACCATACCTGTTAAAAATAGCTTCACTTACCTTTAAATATGATTTCGTACTACTCTTAAATTTATTTTAGTTGATTAAGTAGCTTTAAAATATTAAATGTTAGTAGCTGAGATAGTAAAGTACGGTTCCTTTGAATAGCAAAAATAGAGGATGAGTGCCACTCATGAACAAAAGGAGGGGTTATTTCACTTTACCTGTTTCACTTAATTTGAAGCTGGATTTTTTTATAGATGATAGCCTTGTCTAATTTTGGCTAAGATGCTATGTCCATTTCAATAGATGCAACAGTAATATGTCCAGACTGCTATCAACTCAGTGGTTTGGTTTTTTGGGGTTTGTTTTTTGGAGGACCAGTCCTGGCAAATGATAGTTATGTTTAGAGAAGGTAATAAGCAATGGAAGTGCCGTTCTTGGTTAGTTTGCGTTAGCGTGGCTTTTGATTTTTGTGTAGTATGTAGCAGAAGTCACTTTTTGGATCTGTGTGCTAGATGAGTCAGTTGCAGATTGCAGTGGACCTGTACAGTTGTATTTATATTAGTCAATGTATGACCTGAACTTCAGAGCTGTCAGGTTTGTGGTTTTTTTTTTAACCTAGGTAGTGAAACCGTTGTAAAACGGCTTATAAACTGAAGGAATTGATGGAAATTCCCATCAAGAAACCTTTGTCTTAGCTTTATTTTGATTCCATTAATTTTCTGTTGCTCGATCTTTCTTTTTTGATGTATAAATTATATGTACTGGTTTTCACTTCATTTTATTTAAGTCTTTTTATTTGCTGGTTCCCAAACTGTTAAGTATCTTACGTAGTAATCATGCATGTCTCAAATCACACCTCTCCCCGCACCCGGGAACAGGGTTTTTTTCCTGTTGTGGTGTAGAAGATGCGTTAGCCTCATTTTCCATAACCTTTGTATCTGCAGGACTTCACTGTCTCGTTCTTTTTGGAGGGAGGTTGTTCGTGCTCTTGAACTTGAATGTCTGAAATGCTGGGTTCCTTTCGCTGCATAACCTCCTTTATGCCATGCGGTGTGCGCACTCCATACTGCTTCTACCGTGTAGAACAGCTTTGCCGTGTCTACTTGTGGGTTTTCTTACTGCCTAGTTTCTAGCTTTATTTTCCTGCCCTCTGATTCTTAAAGCATTGAGTTAAATAGGTGGCTATGGTCTTGCTTTGCAGAGTGTTAGTCACTTCTCATCTTCTGCCAAGCGTTTCTGCCCTGCCATGACTGCCGTTCCCTACATGTGTGTTATATCCCAACTGCCTGGTCAGTTAAGTCTGCAGTACAGTTTCAGTGCTCTGAGTGAGCTCTCGATACAATTATCTAAATACAGTTAAGAAAAGCAGTTCTGTGGTTAAAGCTAGTGGTTTAATAGCAGGGCGTCTTTTTGTTCTTCATTGGCATATTTAGCCAGCAAATAGCTGGGTGGCTCTTCTGTGTGTACAGTTGCAGTCTTCGAAAGATCCCCTGGAAGATGAGAAGCATCGAGGCTTCATGGATCAAGTTTTAAACATGAGCTGTTTTGGTGAAACTTGTGCAATGCTGATTATTATTAATAGGCAATTTTCCACTAGGCAGCAGAGTTAGTGGGAGGCTCTTTTAAAGACTAATGTAACATACGTTTCTTACATAAAAAAGAAGAACAAGTAACTTCCCTGAAGCTTTTTACAGCACCTTGTGCTGCTCTAGAGAGAAATGTCTGAGACTTTAAACAGTAAGATAGGTAATAATTCATTTCTGTGTTCTGATTGTAGTATATATTGTCATTTTCTAAGGTACTTTGTGGTCAGGTTGTATTTATACAAAGTGGACTAGAAATAGTTTTATAGTTGCTCCCTCTGCAGGCATGGTTGTTCTTCAGGAGGGCTCAGAACTCAAGGATAACTAGCTCTCACAGCACTCGATCTGAACAGAGTAGCTTGCACAGCCCTGAAGATCTGGTCCAGAGTACTTCTGTCAGTTTGGCGAAGGTTTGAATTAAACTGCGTATCTAAGCGCCGATACACAGTGACTGTGTGTACACAAGGATTTACTGCGGAATACTTACTCGGAAGCTGGAATATTTATTTGGATGTGGAAGCTATTTTGAAATACTTAAAACCCTCTGAGCATTACCTGTCTTCGTTATGGAGCTGTCGGCATCTCAAGGAAATTACGGTACCTGATCTCTTGGGATGTGTCGTGGTGTCTGCCCTGGTTTCGGCTGGGATACAGTTAATTTCCTTCCTAGTAGCTGGTACAGTGCTGTGTTTTGGATTTAGCATGAGAACAAAGTTGATAACTAAAACATCGGTGTGTTGTTGCTAGGTAGTGCTTAGGCTAGTGAAGGACTCAGCAGCTTCCCATGCTCTGCCAGGTACGCAAGAAGCTGGGAGGGGGCACAGCCAGGACAGCCGACCCAAACTGGCCCAAGGGCTATTCCGTACCATATGACATCATGCTCAGTATGTAAACTGGGGGGAGATAGCCGGGGGGGGGCAGAATGACCACTGCTCGGTAACTGGCTGGGCATCGGTCGGTGGGTGGTGAGCAATTGTACATCACTTACTTTGTATATTCTTTTATCATTGTTATTTTCCTTTCCTTTTGTGTCCTATTAAACTGTGTTTCTCTCAACCTGCAAATCTTACTTTTTTTTTCCCCGATTCTCTCCCCCGTCCCACTGCAGGGGGGGAGTGAGTGAATGGCTGTGTGGTGTTTAGCTGCCTGCCGGGTTAAACCACAACATGTCTGACTGAATGCAAGTCACTCTGTCCTATTTTCCTGTCTTAACAAATACAGAATATTAACTAATATCTTCATATTTTGAGGTGGGTCTTGTCTCATAATGTGTTGTATTTCTAAATCTTCATAAGAAGTTCTAACTTGTTTAGAGCAACTTGCAAATTCCGTCTCTTACGAATGCTTTTAGACTTTGTTACAGATGATGAATGCCAAGTAGCTCACTGAAATTGTACAACTGAAGGTTCGCTTAAGAGCTGAACTTAGTATAAGATTTGGAAGCAAATGCTATTTGAACCTTCATGTGAAGTATAGCTTCTAATTAGTTATTACCAATTAATTGTTTTCTTTTAATGGTTCTGAGTGTTCCTTTATTTTGAATTCGGTACGGCGTGGTGAGTCTGTCAGCAAAGTGAAATGCTCACCATTAGCAAACGTATTTTTATGTCTGTTAATTTGTGAACGATTAAGCACATTGCCATCAGCGTAACAATGATGAAGACAAGTGTGTTCTGGCCTGTGTAACAGAGGAACTGCGTTTGGATCGTAAGTCTGCCAGAAGAGCAAAAAGAGGTTAATGGTCCAGATCTGGGAGGAGAGTAGTCAAGTATAACAGTATTTCTATTGCTAAGTAATGCATGCGTTGACAGATAAGTGAGATATTAATAAAATCTGCTCATGCCACATTGGGAGGTGGCGGAGAGGAAGAGGAGACGCTCGTGATGCCTGTACGCTCCCCTGAAACTGCGTTAATTCTGTGAGAATAAGTGCTATTTTTTTAACTCTATAGCTGAAACCTCTAGAAAAAGGAACTTGATTTTTCATCCGGATAAAGATATGTGGATGGTATGGGTGAGACCAGATAGCAAATTAAATAAAGCGTAGCAGGGCATTATAGCAGCCAAATATTAAGTCTGAGCAATGCACGCTAAGCTCTCCAGGAGCTGAGAGAGGTGTCAGTCCTGGCTTTGACCCGAGGGCGTTCAGGTTGGCGTGTCTCTTGGTCATGAGTTGTACGTTCTTGAAGAGAGTCCAGATGATATGAATAGCAGTCATGGTTTAAGGTGATTGGTATATGAGGGAAGATGGAGGTATTAATTTTTTGGCGATGGTGTTGGTTCACTTCCAAGTATCTGTGATTGCTCCAGTGAGGATCACGTATGTGTCTGAAGTAAGGTGTGCTTAAGTGCTCCGTTAGATGAGGACCTTGGGCAGAACGAGGAACCTTCGGTCCACGGTTTCTGTTGGAAGGTCAAAAATGCTGTGGATGGAATCCGGGGTGTCTGAAAAGGGTAGATACGGAACTGGTATATGTTTAGAGCTCAGTGCTTCTATGTACTTTATGTAAAAAGTAGAAATTCCGTCTAGTATGTTAAAATGGGAAAGAAAAGGGGAAAAAACTTTAATTTCTAAATGATTCATTTAGTTCTGTTGAAATTCTTCATGCCTTCAATTTTAGATGCATGTGTTTTTTGAGTTGGTCTGTTTTGCGGTCTTTGACAGCTACTTCTTGAAGTTTCTTTCCTCAAATACCTTATTACGATTTTGACGAAAACACTTGTACGTGTGTTGGTTTTTAAGACTTTTTTCCTTCTTTAAGGCTACATGTTGTTACAGAGCCATGGGAATTTAAGGTCATGAGTAGAAATATGGATAATAATGATGAGCTTATAACCATGTATAAAATATTACTTTTTTTTCCTCTGAGTCATTTGGATAAGGCTGTTAATGGGATTTGTAACTCCTTAATGGGGAACAGAGGGAAACAAAATCTATCCAAATGTAGAATAAATATGTACCCAGTGCTTTCAGATTTATTAATCTAGGCTGTAAGTATTACCATGGCTAATTCTGCATTATCCTTTTTCAGCTGGATATGCCTACTGAGCAGATAGTTGCCAATCTGAAAACAGTTATCCATGACATCTGCACATTCAAGCCTTTGACTTATGGTAAGCAGCTGTTCTTCTAATGTGGTAGTTGAAGTTACAGCAGACAAAATTAAGAAATGAGTGTTCTTTTACCGGCTTGTCATTAAATGACCTTGCTGCTTAGTCTGCCTTGGGACAGGAGGAGGGAGCTGTTAGGCAACTCGGTAAATCAAGACCTAAGAACTTGACCACCTGTAAGGGCACGAATAGCATCTGCTCTTACTGATGGGAACTCTAATTGCACCGTGGCACCACGTAAGTGTCTGTGTGAGGAAAGGAGCGATAACGTTGTACAAAACGAAGTTTGCAGGCTTGATGCTTAAATAGATTAAAGCCATACAAGGAAATCCTTATGGCACATGGAGGTCTTCAGCATCTCTGTGTTGGTTTTACCCCACTGACGTGACCCTGTTGTGGCTCAATGCAAAGAATCTGAACCTGGAATCCACCTGCAGTTGCCTTAGTTAAAACCTACGGTTCAGCTCATGTCTACTCTGGTTAGCTACCCTG